AATGAGCTGCCCGTAAATACGTCTGTTTCGTTTTCGATGCGACACCCTGTATATCTGTTTCCGTTGCTAAAAAAAGGAATAGCGAGAAGCACTTTGAAACTGTATAATAATTTTGTTTATTTTTCAAACACCAACGATTGGTAGGAATGGATGCAGTTGTGTAGTATGTATTAGTTATTATTTAAGTTTATTACTATGTATTAGTACTAGTAAAATAAACATACAACTGTGTATAATTCCATTAAAAGCGAGCATTTGAAAATTATAGCCGAGGACGTAACAGAACCACTCACTTACCTAATCAACAAATAAATCAGGAACAAAAACAGATGTTAACAACTATAGACCAATATCAATAATATCCAGTGTAGCAAAGGTTTTTGAAAAAGTTTTATCTACTAGAATGATTCGATACCTCACAAAATTCAACATTTTAAGTGAAAATCAATATGGACTTACAGAAGGGAAGGCTACATCGGACGCAATGACTAAAATTGTAAATCAAATACATCAAAATATTGATAACAGAATCCCTTCAATCTGCATTTTTGTTGATTTAAAGAAAGCTTTCGACACAGTTAATCACAAATTATTATTAGAAGCATTGGAGAGAATTGGTTTCAGAGGAAACGCGTACTCACTGATCGAAAGTTATTTGTCAAATCGCCCACAATCTGTGCAGATATCAGGATCATTTAGTAAAGAAATGTATATTAAGTGTGGTGTCCCACAAGGAACTGTCTTAGGTCCGCTGTTATTCAATATATATTTAAATGATATTTTCCAAATTAATTGTGTTGGCAAAATAACTAGTTTTGCAGATGATACTGCAATATTATATGAAGGCACTGACTGGTCTGATCTGAAAAATGTAATTGAAAATGATTTTATCAAAATTATTCAGTGGTTTAACAGTAGAAAATTAAGCATTAACTACTCTAAAACACATTTTTTACCATTTGGATCTTATGCTAGACATCTGCCAAATTACACAAATTTCTCCTTCAATATTAATGATCAAAAAATGCAAATTAATAGAGTGCCCAACATAAAATACCTTGGAGTGGTCTTGGATCCTCACTTACGATGGGACATCCATGTCAATTATATTTTAAAGAAAGTTAGATTTGTATCCTACAAAATTAAATACCTTGGGAATATATTGACAGAAAAATATCTTCGAACATTATACCATGCACTGATTGAGCCTCATCTCACATATGGTATATTAGCATGGGGAGCTGCATGTTCCTCACATATCTATAATTTAGATGTTTTTCAAAAAAGTATTCTAAAAATGATATTTAAAAAACCGAAACTTTATCCCACTGAAAAATTATACGCAGATGTTCGATTGTATGATATAAGACAGCTTTATTTCTTACACAGTATCACTCACTACCATAAATTTGTAAACACCGACCAAAAAATTAAACATAATCATTATACCAGGTACAAAATTCGTGGCACAGTAGTTCCTCAACCGCATAAATCTATAATGCAGCGATCATATCTCTATTTAGCGCCTAAATTTTATGAAATTATACCTAAAGACTTAAAAGATTTACGTTTCGGAAATTGTTTCAAAAGAAATTTAAAAAAGTGGCTACATTCTATATCTAGGACTGAAATTCATAAACTCATAAATACGAACATCAACTAAATACATAATCTACTGTAGCTAATTTTTGTCCTTTTTTGTCATTTGCATTCTACAGTTTCAACTTAAATTATTGGTCCATGTACAGGCGATGCCTTCTATTGGGCCTGTTTTGATTTTATATTTATTTACTCATATTGTTTGTTATCTTTGTACATTGAGTGAATAAAAATATTATTATTTAAGTTGGCTTACATTGCTTACGACTAGTTATTCCAAAATCATCAAAGTAGCTCAACACTGATCTAATGCGTATACTAGATTTCCTCCAAAATATCTCCAGCTGTACCATCAATACAACAATGCATTCTTCGATAGTTTGATGTGAGTGGTCATTCAGCCTCGAGGAACCTCTCGGAAGGACCTACAAGGGATCCAATGAAACTTACGCACTATGATACCGGCTGCCAATTGTTCCTTCAATACAGTGCGAGATGAGTTTCAGAAGCTAAACACGTTCAGTTTCACACAGAGAAATGCTATGTATATCACTTGGGTACAAACAATGTCGGCTGTGTTATCCTCGTATAATAGAACGTGACAGCTACTTGATTGATTATGTTATGGTTTAATTATCAGTATGCCACTCCACCCTAACAGCAGTATAATGAAACCTTGAAAATTTCACCCACATACATTCATTCATTCTCGCTTATGTGCGAGACCTCGTCAATTAGCAGACTTGTTATTCAAGTTGTTTTACAATAATTACAGATGAATTCATTCATTCGAATTATCTTCACAGAGCTCGATAAATTGTTCACTTCCAGCTTGATTTTATCTTAGTTTGAACACAAAATTTGTAAAAGCTTTTCCAATAAGGACGGCTCGATCTTGAAATGTATGTCAATGTGTTAATGATTTTGGTTTTTTTTTCGAATGGAAGGCCTATATTTGTCAACTTGTATCATATATGAGATCATTCAGAAGTTTAGAGCGCTGGTACGAAACCGAGAGGTGCAAATTTCAACGAATTTGCCTCATACGAGGCATGTAAATTGAGTGGTGTGACTGGCAACGTAGTGTTTGATCATCCGGCAGTATTGGAGGCAGTGGGCTTTGAGTGGAGACAGGGCAACATGTGATCCATCTTCAGTACAAGTTTAAACTCGCTCGAGTCTTTGGTTGTCCTAAGAGCAGTGTAAGAACCGTCACCAGGGTTGTGTAGTCTCAGAAGGAAGTTATTTTCATGGTGACAATATAAAATTGTGATCATATTTGAATGAAAAACATAAAAAACAGTCCCATCTCTCTGGGTTTTGTTGACTTTGACGACGTCGGTGACTGACAGCTTACTCACACTGTTTTTCGACTCCAAGTTACAAAACAATTATAAAAGTTACTGCTTGATGCAGATTTTGGTCCGTAGTTTTAAATTAACATTAGTAAGACCATCGCTGTCAACGGTAACGGATCAGTGAGGATTTCTTTTGGGACGGATTCAACGATACGGACGTAAACGACATGCGAATATTAAAATGGGGGTTCTTCAGGGATCCATTTTAGGGGCATTACTAAAGAAGGTTTTGAAGCTGAAGATTATACCAGGAATTTACTTGTTAGAGTATGCTGATGAGCTCGCAATGGTAGTAACAAGCAAAGAGGAACTTACGTTAAAGAATCTATTGACATGTGGAATAACTAAGAGCGGCATATGGACGAAGGAAAAAGGCTTAAATATGACATGAATAAAATGAGGTGTTTATAATACAAGATAAAAACAAAAGTCAATGTCAGTGAATGTTTGAAATGTACATCTAATGTGCAATTAAATGCCTGGACGTATCGCTTGACAAAGGCACAAAAATGATCGAGCACATCGCATACTTAGACCAGGAGGCGCTGCAAAAATCTGTCGTGCTTTTCTGTCAAGTGGCTATAAAGACTTTCGCAATGCAATAAGCTATTTAAGGGTAATGTTATATCTCGCATAGCACACATAATTTTCACGCCAAGGCTGTGCAATTTGACCCTATCAGATCTTTTATTTTGATGTTTTCTCAAGTCGCCGATGTGTGCCAATAACTCGCAGCTTACTGGTTTTACAATAAAAGCCAATATAGCTCAGGTGACTAGTCAAACAAAGCTAGATCCTTATTACGGACATTTGAACAATATCATATTCTATACGTAACCTACAGACAAACGGATTCGCATAGCAGCCCTCTGTTCACTGGACTACATAGTACAACACGTTCACAAGAAGTAAAGCTCGCGCTGAGATCAGAATTAATTCGCGAATTAAATCAAAATAAGAGCATTTACAAAAATCAAATATTTTTGGTCCATATCACTTGTCGAATCATTTTAACAATGCCTAATCTCTTCGGACCTGAAAGATTATCTTCTTTCTTTATTTTCTTCTTCCCTTTTCCCTTAACATTGTCTAATTTGAGACATGTTAGACCTGACAACAATGAGTCGACAAGTAAACAATTTGGTTAATACTATTCACAAAGTTTGATGTTGGAAAAATTTGTGTTATTTCATCGTCGACCTCTCGTTTTCTGAAAATCGCCTGACTGTCAATAGAGCTGAATTATTAAAATTTTCGATCATTTTTGGTGCGTGGAAAATAGTACGATATTTTTTAGAAAGTCCTAGACTTAGTGTACGCTTCGTTTTTGTGTGATCATAAAACTTTTCGCTATAGGAAGAATCGGGTCATATAATAATAAGTTTATTGCAAAAGAAAAAGTATAGCAGTAGTAGATGAAAGACAATATTATACAATAAACGAATGGACCCAAAAAAGTTTCGCAGAAACTTGTGCTTGGGCATGAGCTCATGTATAAATAACTTAAGACTAAAAAAAAAAAACATAAAAAATATATGTATAT